ACCTCGGCCATAGCTCACAGGCATGTGAATACACTACCCCACTTAGCATATACAAGTCACGTAAGAAACAAGCCTCGCTACACAGTGATGAGTGGCAGAGCGGTGCCTGGTTATAGATCGACTCAGGGCTTCACAGAAACAGCCAACTAAACCATTAAACCCACTTCAGGGAGCCACACTGCTGCATTTGGTGACTGGTTTCCTTCTCAGGAAACATGAGGCTCATCTCTTTTTCAACAGACACCTGTTGTTCTGAGCTGCGTGAGAAGCTGGGAGTAGTGTCAACAGAGCAGTGACTCCTCCTTCAGATTCTGTGCACAGTGACTCGTTCTCAGCCTGTGGAGCTGGTTGTTGGAAACAGACATCCCCCCGTGTTTCCTGAGGAGGAAACCTGCCCCAAACCTGGGGTTTAGTAGCTGGTGGACAACAGTGGAGGTCTACAGCACAGAGCAATAAGCTGGACCAGGGTCTGGACTCACACACATGACGGGGAGGACATCACGTTCACTGGGGCTGCTGGTCTCTGGACGGGGTTGGGGGGGAATCACACAGAGACATAATAACCATGTGGTTAGGGAGCGATGGTCATTTTTAAAGGAACTGATGTCCCAGTACACCGAGAAGCAGAATTTCAATTGCCCTTCTTATTTGAAAGATACAATACAAAGCTCCTTCTGACCGGAATAACCTTCCTGTTTGTTTGAGATCCCTAACCTCCTACCGCGGCCATTAAATGGTTTTTACAATTCAGTTACTTTGTATTTTAGTTGAGGCCTAGGGGTGTGGGAGGGATGGATTTGTTTTGTTGTTTTGTGTTTGTGTATCTTGTCTTTGGGACCCCCTCAAAATGAGATGCTACATCTCAAGGGGTCATCCCTTCATTAAATTCAAAGTCAAAATGTAGACGTGCAGATACTGTGTACTGGTGAGTACCGGCCCATTTCGAGCACAGAGGAGTGAAGGATTAGGAAAGCTAAAAAACAGAAAGATGAAGGAGCAGGTTGTGTTTGAGCCGTATTCTGCGGAGGAGGGGAGAAAGAAGAAGGGGTGACCGTTCTCTGTGTACACAGCCTCCTCCTCATCTCCTTCTCTGGTTCTGTTGGCCTCTCTTTACTTCGGCTCCTGTGGTTTTCTTATCAGCCCTGGGCAGACCTTTGCTCCCCGCCCGCCTCTGCTCTGCTCAGATGTCGATAAACCGTCCACCCACCCTGGTTTCACTATAGGCTGTGGTCAGGGGAGCACTAAAAACCAACCTCACATTAGCTTCTCTCTGAATAGATCTGCTGTAAAGTGTCCACAGGAGGAAACAGAAAAGCAAATGTGTGCTGTGTCTGCAGACACTGGGGAAGGAACAGCTTCTCTTTCACATCTGTTTCACTGCATTTGTGTCACAACGACATCCTGACACACATTTCTCTGCCTCATCCTCTTCATGCTCCCTTTTTTCTTGCAGTATTATCCACGGGTCTCAGTTTGCGACTCAGCCTGTAAAATTCAATAATTAATCAACAATACCAAGAGTCTTCCCTGGGATTGCATTTAATCAGAAGGGGCTGTGTTTGGTGCATGTGGGCAGATCCTTTCCATCCGCAGACCGGTAGCTGGGAGCACTCCTTAGCTTCCCCCTCTTCCTCTGCAGCAGTTCATTATCCAGCCTTTAGGGGGCCCCGGTCCCTGAGCTTGTCCTAAAATGCTCTGAAGAAATAGTAATGGGATGTAGGCGCCATTGCCATGGATACAACACAGGATCACTGGCCCACTGCTTCTCTTTCCTTCCTGCTCTGTGCTTCGATCCTGATGCTGCAGCTTCAGCAGCCAGCTTTTAAAAACATGGCTTCCGTCTTCTCTGGATTATCCACACGCCATGGTAGCAAACAGCAGCTTCACTGGTTCCAGTCTTCCCCCTCTGTCCTCTAATTACTTGTTTCTTTTCATTCA